CCATAGGGAACCCCACCGAAGCCCCCATAGGAACCGCCTGCATGCATCCCATACGTTAAATTTGGCATAGTCACCCACCCAGTACAACGATTCGTGGCTTCATAGGGAGCTCCACCGAAGCCCCCAGTGGGACCGCCCGCATGCGTCCCACACACCCAATTTAGCATTTTCACCCACCCAGTACCAGCGCTTCGTGGCCCCATAGGGCGCGCCACCGAAGCCCCCAGTGGGACCGTCCGCATGCGTCCCAGGCAGCCAATTTGGCAATTTCACCTTTCCAGGAGAACGATTCGTGGCCCCATAAGGAGCTCCACCGAAGTCCCCAGTGGGACCGCCCGCATGCGTCCCCCCCCTCTACACACACACCACACACACACACACACACACACCACACTGCGCTTCGTGGCCCCATAGGGAGCACCATCGAAGCCCCCAGTGGGACCGCCCGCATGCTTCCGACACGCGCAACTGGGTAATTTGACTCACCCAGGACAACGCTTCGTGGCCCCATAGGGAGCTCCACCGACGGCGTGGGGGTGGCCACATGGGGCTCAGTGGCGCTGGCGTGGGCGTGGGGGAGCTCCACCGACAACGCTTCGTGGCCCCATAGGGCCCAGTGGGGGTGGCCACATGCGTCCGCCACAACCAGTACAGCGTTTCGTGGCCCCTGGGACCGTCCGCGTGCGTTCCGCACACCCAATTTGGCATTTTCACGCACCTAGTACAGCGCTTCGTGGCCCCATCGGGAGTTCCACCGCAACCCCCATTGGGACCGCCCGCGTGTGTCCCGCACACGCAATTTGACATTTGCACCCACCCAGCATAGCGTTTCGTGGCCCCCTAGGGAGCTCCACCGAAGCCCCCATTGGGACCGCCCGCATGCGTCCCACACACCCAAGTTGCCAGTTTCACCCATCCAGTAAGCGCTTCGTGGCCCCAATAGGGCGCTCCATCGAAGCCCCCAGTGGGACCGCCCGTGTGCGTCCCGAAAACCGAATTTGGCATCTTCACCCACCCATTACAGCGTTTCGTGGCCCCATTAGGATCTCCACCGGAGCCTCAAGTGGTACGGCCCGCGTGCGTCCTGGAAGCCGACTTTGGAATTTTTCCCACCCAGCACAGCGCTTCGTGGCCCCACAGGGAGCTCCACCGAAGCCCCCAGTGGGACCTTCTGCATGCGCTCCGGAAACCCAGTTTGGCATTTGCACCCGCCGGGTACAGCTTTTCGAGGCCCCATAAGGAACTCCACCGAAGCCCCCAGTGGAACCGTCGGCGCGCGCCCCACCCAGCTAATTTGGAATTTTCATCCACCCAGTACAGCATTTCGTGGCCTCATAGGGAGCTCAACCGACGGCCCAAAAGCTACCGCCCGCATGCGTTCCCGCCTACCCAGTGCATGGCTTCGTGGCCCCATAGGGAGCTCCACCGAAGAACGTAACTACAATTGCGGTACCCACAACTGCATATGGTTGGGTCCTTCGCCAGCATAATGTTTCTGTTCCCAGCCATCTTGTTGTGGTGAGTCTTGGTTTTGAAATAACGGTCCCCGCGTCTCCTTCATCCTCCCGTTCCCTCCTCCCTCTTCCCATCATCACCACCAATTGTGGTATACCCCTCACGCGCACCGTGGCCCCATAGGGAGTTTCACCGAATGTCCCAGTGGTTGCTAGCGCGTTTTGGCCGCATGCGATTCCACCTCCCATCTCGGCACATCCAATTTGGCATTTTCACCCGCTCAATACCGCGTTTCGTGGCCCCATAGGGAGTTCCACCGAAAGGTCCAGTGGTTGTGTTCGCGTTTTGGCCGCATGCGGTTCCACCCCCCGTTTCGACACATCCAAGTTGGCATTTTCACCCACCCAGTACAGTGCTTCGTGGCCACATAGGGAACTCCACCGACGGTCCCATTGGTTGCGTGCGCGTTTTCGCCGCATGCGGTTCCACCCCCCATTTCGGCACATCCAATTTGGCATTTTCACCCACCCAGTACCGCACTTCCTGGCCCCATAAGGAGCTCAGCTCCACCGAAAGATCCAGTGGTTGTGTTCGCGTTTTGGCCGCATGCGGTTCCACCCCCCGTTTCGGCACATCCTATTTGGCATTTCCACCCACCCAGTACCGAGCGTCGTGGCTTCATAGGAACCTCCACCGGAGCCCCAGTGGGAACCGCCCGCATGCGTCCCACACGCCCGTTTTGGAAATTCCACCCACCCAGGACAACGCTTCGTGGCCGCATAGGGAGTTCCACCGAAGCCCCCAGTGCGACCGCCCGCGTGCGTCCCGAAAGCCGAATTTGGCATTTTCACCCGCCCAGTACAGCGCTTCGTGGCCCCATAGGGAACCCCACCGAAGCCCCCATAGGATCCGCCTGCATGCATCCCATACGTTAAATTTGGCATAGTCACCCACCCAGTACAACGATTCGTGGCTTCATAGGGAGCTCCACCGAAGCCCCCAGTGGGACCGCCCGCATGCGTCCCACACACCCAATTTAGTATTTTCGCCCACCCAGTACCAGCGCTTCGTGGCCCCATAGGGCGCGCCACCGAAGCCCCCAGTGGGACCGCCCGCGTGCGTCCCACACAGCCAATTTGGCAATTTCACCTTTCCAGGAGAACGATTCGTGGCCCCATAAGGAGCTCCACCGAAGTCCCCAGTGGGACCGCCCGCATGCGTCCCCCCCCGCTACACACACAAAGACACACAACACACACACAACACACACACAACACACAACACACAACACACAACACACAACACAGACACAGACACAGACACAGACACAGACACAGACACATACACAGACACAGACACAGACACAGACACAGACACAGACACAGACACACACACACACACACACACACACACACACGCACACACACACACACAGTTATGCATTTTCACCCGCCCAGTACAGCGCTTCGTGGCCCCATAGGGAGCACCATCGAAGCCCCCAGTGGGACCGCCCGCATGCGTCCGACACATGCAACTGGGTAATTTGACCCACCCAGGACAACGCTTCGTGGCCCCATAGGGAGCTCCACCGACGGCCCCAGTGGTACCACCCGCATGCGCTCCCTCCCACCCAGTGCAGCGCTTCGTGGCCCCATAGGGAGCTTCACCGCAGAAGACATTCATACCCACAATTGCATCTGGTTGTTTCGGGTTTCTGGTTTCGGAAAACGAAAGCGTGAAAGGGAGCTGAGATCCTAGGAGAAAGCGGGGGAAACAAGGTAACTACAACAGAAAAACAAAGAGAAACTAACGCATCACATAAACCATGGGCTTTTCAAACTAAATCCCGTCAGCACAACAATCAAAGCCAAGGCTTCTGTCTAACGTTATTTTTCCTTTGAAAACAAATGGTTCACGGATTCTATGTGTTTGCCATGGTTTTGTTGAAGTTTGTTTCATTTTCGGTTTCGGTTTGGACTCCTACACCGAAAGCACGAGGTCACATGACTAATCCCACGAGTAACTAAAGCAGAAAACCCCGCAGAGCAGAACACATCGCACATCACCGATTTAAAACCGTACAGCACATGCATTTTGTTTGTAACGCCCACGACGTTTACCACCCTATCACCTCTGACCCTCCCGCTCCAGAGGCTGAGAGCCTTCAAAGTGTTTCGAACGGAGAAACACGGCGTTCAGATTGGGGGCGGGAACATTTGCGGTTAAACATGGCCCCCTTGGTAGACGCAAGCGTACACCGTTCGTGCTGAAGATCGCCGAGGACCGCCGGAAAGAGATCTCAGAACGTGACCAGGTAACGAGGGGCGTTGTGTGTGGGAGCATGATTGCGCCAAGCCAGACCCTTGCAAAGCTTGGCCCAGTATCCGCCGTTGACAGCCTTCCCACCAGAGGGAAACACCTCCACCACCATGCAATCAGGCCAAGGAGGAGGAGAAGGAGGAGGAGGACAGATAATGGAAGCAAGGGGAGAGGCATGAGGAGGTTCCCGGAGGTCTCAGGAGGCTTCCGTCCCAGAGGTTCTCCGGAAGACGCTGGGCCTTTGGAGGTCCGCCCAAATTGAATAACATCACTAAACACCCTCCATCCCCTCGAGTTTCCATCCTCCATCCTGCAAGAGGGGGGTCCGTGGTCGAACACGTAGGCCGAGCCCCCAAAGGGAGAGAAACCCTCACATGATCTTCGAACCCCGATTTCCGGATCGTGCGTGGAGGGGGGACACGCGGCCGCTTGCGCGAACACCGCGCGAGCGGTCGGTGCTGTTCTTCGCCTCGCGCTCGCTCGGCTCCCAGGGGGGTCTCCGGAGGCCTCAGGAGGCCCGAGCGTGCTCGAGCCTCGGTCCCCGACGCTTCGAGGAGCAGGGGTGTCCGCAGTTGGGTGGCTTCGGCTGCTTGGCAGTCGTCTGCACTCGAGCAGGTCGGAGGCGGATAGACCTCCTCCCCTGACACGTCGATTCAGGAATTGGCCGTTTTCGGTTCGCGACAGGGCGTCGCGGCCGTCATTTTTGCGGGTCCAGGTCCGTCGATTTTGGCCCTTGGTCGTTTTCATTACGGGGAGGTTTACTAAAGGGGAGGTTTGTCCTCCGCCGAAGTAGGGGACCGAGTGCAGAATTGATTTGCCCCAAACCCGATCCGACTTCTACGACAAGCGGTAACATGTGCCACGGATCCAGGAACAGCTTGCGTGTGTTTTGCTGGCTCGATGCACGAATCACTTCTGTGGTAAGTCAGCTTTGCGGTCGACCACCTGCTCGAGCACTCGGTCGGCTCGGTTCGGCCGGCTGCTGCGCCTCTGCGCTCTTCGGGGGGCGCTTTCTGTCTGTCGGTTCCGCCGTCGGTTCGGTTGGTTTTTTCTGTGTTGCCGTCGCCGTGACTTGGCATCGCTCGCACATGTGCATTTGTTTCGGCGAGGACCATCGAAGAACATGTCTGACCACTTAGAACAATTGCACGCACGAAATCAAGTAATGCACGGGGAATGCGATTGCGAGTGGACGCCTGTGGCCTCTGACACACACACCGCTCGAGGGGTCCGTGCTGTTCTTTGTAACGCGCACGCTCGGCTCACTGAACCTGCTGAAGGCGCTCCAGGCCCCCCGCCCCTCTGCCGCGCTCGCTGGGCGCTCGCCGGGTCTGACCTGCGGTCAGCGCCGTCGTCGTTGTCATCGTCGCCGTCGCCGTCGCCGTCGTTGCCGTCGCCGTCGTTGTCGTCGCCGTCGCCGCCGCCGTCGTCGTCGTCGTCGTCGTCGTCGTCGTCGGGATCCTCGCCGTCCTCGTCGTCGCCGTCGTCGTCCTCGTGGGCCTCGCCGTCCTCGCCGTCGTCGATGTCGCCGTCATGCCCGCTGGCGTCCCCGTCGTCGTTGCCCTCGTCGTCGTCGTCATCGATCGCGGATCAAAGTCCTGGGGCCTCCAGTGGGTCACCCTGGTGGCCACGGCTGGATTCACCATGAAGTTGTTGACGCTTCGCTCGCGTGGAGTGACGGATTCGACGGAGACCCTGGTTCCATGCGGGGAATGGCGGATTCGGCGGATAAGGCAGTCCCACGGTGGCCTTCGGCGTACATCAGGCGGCAGCTGCCGTGCCCTCAGTGCAGCCCCTCCCCCCTCCCTGGATCCCCCTGCCTCGCTGGCGATGCTCACCACGCCTGCCTGGCTTTCTCCTACAGTCCATCTGGCGTCGGCTCTGTGCCGTTGTTGGAGGGGCCGGCCCACTGACGCCCGGGCCTCCCTCGGGCACTGGTCGATGGCCCCTTGGGTACTGCGGTCGCGCCGGAGTGGTTTAGCCTTCTGCAGTCGCAACAGCACCCTGGACTCATCCCCCTCTTCAGGCAGGTTTGCGACGTCCCTCGGCAGCTCAGCTCCCCTAGCCCACACACGCCGTTGGGGCGGCCCTGGGCCTGGCGCCCCACTGGCGACTCGCCCATCGGTCTTCGCGCCTGGACGCCCACCCAGCATGATGAACACGTCGGCACCTCCGTGCACGTCCCCGCGTCGTCTGTGTGGGTTATGCCTCGCGGCATGCACCGAATTTCTCGGCATGTTGTCAGACTGCACGTGCCTGAGCTTCCCTGGATGCCGCCCGCTGTCAGCCTCCCGCACAGCCCCGTTGCTGCTTGGTGAGTGGGCCGGCCGGCTTGCGGCGCGTCTTGTAGCTAATTAGCCTTGTTCGCAGCCCCGGACAATTGCTTTCGCCGCCTGCGGTCTTCGCTGGCGGCCGCGACCGAAAAAAAGTATCCTCACCAGCCTTTCTCAGCCATCCATCCGCCGTTGGGCCCTGCGTGAGGCCTCGGCCGGCGCGTAGCTGTTTTCTCGCGCGTCCCCCCTGTGTTTTCTTTTCCCGCGCTTCCTCTGCCTAGTTAGTCTCTGCGTAGCCCGCTTTGACCTGACTCGCCGCCGGCGCGCTCGCCCGCGGCCGCTGACTAAAAAGTATCCCCACCAGCCCATCCATAACCGATACCCACGGACAGTTTCACGAGAAGGCAAGTATGTAAGCATATACAGAGACAGAAATACACAAACTCATGCATGCATTGTCGTTGTGGAGCGTCTTGGGGCGTGCTTGGCCCATCCGAACATGATTCGCAGGGGATATTGTTAGTCTGAGGAGGAGGTAAAGGGCGAGCAGAAGAGCCATAAGCGTCTTGAGTGCCTCTCGGAGTCTCCTCGGAAGCTGTTTTGGAGGCTTCTTGGGGCGTCTGGGCGGCTTCTTGGCGGGCCCAGAGGGGTCTTTGAGCGTCTGGGGTGCCCCAGGGATCCTCTTGAGGCCTCTTGGGGGTCTCTTGTGAGCCTCTTGGAGGCGTCTTGGACGCCCCTTGGGCCGCCTGGGCGCCTCTTTCGGCCCTTCGGGACGCATTTCGGAGCCTTGGGAACGCTCTTGGAGCCATTTTGGAGGAGATCGATTTAAGAAGGGGGGTTCCCCAATTTGCCTTGCCCTTCGGGAGTCCCACGGTCGCCTGTTGGAGCGCTCTTGGTGCGCTCATGGAGCGCTCTTGGGCGTTCTTAGGGTCGTCTAGGGGCTCTCTTGGGCCCCCTCATGGGGCCCTCTTGGGCTATATTGGAGTCATTTTGAAGCCTCGGAATGCCATTGGAAGCAAAAGGGCGGGAAACCCAACACCATTTTTTTCTTGGGTTTTTGAAGGATGTTCATTTCCTCGGGGCCTCCTTTGGGAGCTCTTGTGGCCAATTGGAGCCGTCTCGAAGCGGTCTTGGGGCTTCTTGGGGCATCTAGGGGGCAATCTCAAGGCATCTTGCGCTATCTTGAGCCACCTTCGAGGCCATCCTGGGCTTTCTAAGGCCCTCTCAGAACCAACTTGGGCCATCTTAGAGGCTCCGACTGCTCGCGGAACGCCCCGTCCAGGTTAGGGGGAGGGGTAAACCCTTCCCCGAAGGGGAATAAGGGGGTGGAAGAGGACACGCCCTAGACCACCTACGCACAGAGGGCTGGCGGGACATTTGTCCAAGCGCGTCCCAGGATTGGTCCGGAGGTCGCCGTCGTTTTCGCTGGGTCAGGATGAGGAGTAGCTTCTCGTTGCGCCCACTAGCAGTCGCGCTCGGCTTCTTGAGGCGTGTTGTTTTTGAGGTGGGGGGTCATGGGTCAGCAAGGGGACATCGATATTTTGACTGCTAGAGCGGAGCCGCTATGCTCTGGGCTGCGAGTCGCCCCGAATTATCTGGGGAATCACCCCTCGCGGCACGCCCACGGCCAGAGTGCCAAGGGCAAGGCTTGCTCCTTTTTGGAAAGGTCTACGGGATGGGGCATGACGTGGAGCCCGTTCCTTTATTGCTTGGGGCATGACGGGCGTCATGGCCCCCGGTCCCCCCCCTATGACGTAACGCTCCCCCCCCGAGTGCGTTCCGGGCACTGCCGCCGTGCGCATTGGGATCCGCGTAGGTGTCCGCATTGGAGTCTGTCTGGTCCGCAGTCGTCGTCGTCGTCGTCGTCGTCGTCGTCGTCTTCGTGGCTCGTCGATCGTCGATCGTCGATTCGTCGTGCGCGCGGACGCGGCTGGAGCGTAGTGCGGTGTGGAGGGGGTCGATGAGGGCAATACATTTTTGTTGGGGGGATGGGGTCGACGACGTCACTTTTCGCGCTGGCGTTGTCTGGGAATGCCCAGGAATGACGGAGGACGGATAGCACCAGCATGTAGGTGGCGATCTTCACCACAATGCTTGTGTACACCATAGTGCCTGCGTGGACCACAGCGCTTGTGTACACCACGCCGCTTATGTACACCACAGCAGCCCTGTGCAACACAGCGTCAGTTTGTGCCACCGTGCCTGCGGGCACAGCAGCTATTGTGTACACCACAGCGCCTGCGCACACCACATACGCCGTGTACAACACAGAACCATTGTACACCACAATGCCTGCGTGCATTGCGGTGTCTGTGTGCACCACGGCGCCTGTGTGCACCACAGCATCCGTGTGCAAGTCAGCACTACTGTTGTATATAGAATGTTGGAAGGAATCTGTATGACTAAATGAGCGTTTGTGGATTCCACTGAAAACAGTAGAAAGGAATCCTTATGGACAACGGAGCGCCGCTGGAATTCACGGTCCTCCCGAGTCCGCCAACATAACCTTAACTTCTCCCATCTGTGTCCAGGAGGCTTCAGCTCAATTGGCCGTCGGAGAACCAAGCCGACCAATTCAATAAACCATTTTGCGGTGCACACTGAGATGCGCACGTGCGCCAACCCGCACGACACGGGGTAAGGAGGAGTAGGAGGAGTAGGAGGAGGAGGGGGAAGAGGAGGAGGAGGAGGAAGTGGTGGAGGTGGAGGAGGAGGGAGGAGGGAAGAACGTCGCATTCGATTATGAGCACTTTCGTGGCGTGGCGTCCAGTTGTCCACAGCAAATCCTCACGCACATGCTCCTTGTACCTGTCCTATGCACGCAAGCGCTGAGGTGTACACCAGCGCTGCGTTGCACGCGGATGCTGTGGTGTAGACAGGCGTTGTTGCGTGCACACACGTTGCGGTGCACGCAAGCATTGTGGTGTGCACAGGCGCTGTGTTGCACATGGTTGCTGCGGTGGACACATGTGCACCGGCGCTGTCGTGGACGCGGCTGCTGTGGTGTACACAGGCGCTGCGTTGCGCACGGTTGTTGCGGTGTACGCAAGCGTTGTGGTATACACATTCGCTGTGGTGCACGCGAGCTTGGTGGTGTGCACAGGCGCAGTGGGGCATATCGCCACCTACATGCTGCTCGCGTCGTCGTCGTCGTCGTCGTCGCTCGTCGCTCGTCGCTCGTCGCTCGTCGCGTCGTGCGCGCGGGCGCGGCTGTGGTACCGGGGCCACACGGCGGGAGGGGGGCGTTACATCATCCCCTCCCGCCCCCCCCCCCCCCCATGACGCACGTCATCGCCGAACATTACGAAACGCGCTCGTGCCCCTCTTGTCCGACCACGGCGTCGCTGGAGGACGAGTTTGGCCGCTTGCCCTTGCCAGTCATCCAGAGCCACGCCAAGAGGCGCGCGCGCAGTGTGGAGATTGGCGGGAAGGTGGTGTCCGTATGTTGTTTTCTTGGCATGAGTTTAGACCAACGGGAAGAGCGGCAGAGGATGAGGAGGAGGAGGAGGAAGCGGAACAGGAGTAAAGCGACGTGGGGAAAGGGATGAGAGGCACTTGGAAGAGTTGGAGGAGAGACATCTGGAGGAGTGAGGATGAGGAGAAGGAAGAGGCAATGGCACGATGATGATGATGAGAAGGAGGAAGAGGAGGAGGACGAGGAGGAGGACGTGGATGGGGACGAGGAGGAGGAGGAGGGGAAGTGTGTCCCTCGTCTCCCGTACCCCTGCCGCTCTCCCCCGTTTGATCTGGCACCTTTGCCGCTCGCATTCCTCTCCACTCCCGTTCCCTCGGCTGCCTTCTTCGCCTCTACCATTTCCCCCTCGTCATTCACACTCCTCCTGTCATTAGGTGCGTCGCACAGGAGAACAGACAACGGCGATTCCTGCTTTGGGGTGGGGGCGCGAGAGCGCGACGATGGCCGTGCGCCTTGCTCTTCGCGTTCTGGCGCGAAAACGAAGGCGACCTGATGCCGCGAGGATCTCGGGCACTCCTGGGAGAGGTGTCGATCCACTTCCCGCAGAAGGGTTTCGGGACCGCGCGCGCGACACGTGCTTCCCGCCAGCGCGCCGCAGGTGCCCCTGATGATGAGCAGGGTGGTCACTGAGGGTATCGCGACGCTCGTGGTGCGACAGGGGTTGGCCTTCGCTACGTTGGGAATAGAACGATGGGGCATCAGGATGAGAACGATGATCACGTTGCGGAATGCGTTGGCGTGCGAACCTCTGCGGCATCTCTGCATTCTCTCGCGCGTGTGATACCCACGGAGGAGGATAAGGATGAGGCGGTGGGGAGGTGAGGGGAGAAGGAGTTGCGTGGGATGTTGAGGAGGATAAGGATAAGGATGGGGAGGCATATTTTAATGAGGAGGACGAGGAGCATAACCCTGAGAAGGAGCCGAGGAGGGGGGATGAGAAGGAGAATTGTCAGGTTGAGAGTAGGCTAGAGAACTCCCCAATTTGGTCATCTGCCCCAGCGCATCGGGGACCGCTCAGGGGGCAAACTGGTCGGAAGCATTTGCATCAGGAGCTGGGGGTGTTGGAGGGCAAGGAGGAGAAGGAGGAGGAGGAGGAGGAGGAGGAGGAGGAAGAGGGGGAGGAGGAGGGGGAGGGGGAGGGGGAGGGGGAGGGGAAGGGGGGTCGGGAGGAACCAGAGGGAGAGCAGGGAGGAGGCATTGGCGGAATATGTGGAGGAGGAAGAGGGGGATCATCAGCACGGCGGGCACCGGAGAGTCCTTGCCCGAAGAGGAAGGTGATGGGGAAGGTAGGGGTGGAGGAGGAATACGGGGCCAGGATATCGCGGACACCACTCTTCTCACGCTGGCCGACCAGGAGGGTGCCTTGGACGAGAAACGGAGCAAGAACGACCATGTCCAGTCGCTCCAAGAGGGCCTCGAGGCCTGGCATCCCCCGCGATGCGGAAGGCGCACATCTGGGAGTGGGCGGAGGGAGGCGAACGGGGACGGGAGGGGAGTCGAGCAAAAGAGCGGGATCGGATTGGGGAGGAGGTGGGATCCCCCTTCTCCCAGTTTCCCTTCTCCCTCTCTCCCTGTGGCCCATTCCCTGTCCGACTGTCCGACGTCCCCTCCGTCTTTCCATTTGCCTCCCGTACTCCTCCCCTTCCTCTGTCCGCTGCTCCCATCCACTTCCAATGGAGAGGGGGGGGAGCGCCACCGCCCTTGCTTGGAAGAGGGGCCGTGGGGGGTCAGGGATGGTGGTAGGGGTGCTGCCATCGTTAGGCCCGTTCTCCCTTCGGCAGGCGTTGGGCACACCGAATCCTGCAAGCCTGCATAAACCCTGCACCCCTCCAGGCGGTGTTTGTGGCCTGGCAAGCAGTCGCCGAACAGCAGCATAATGGAACGACGCCGGCACAAACCCTTCGGGCATCTGCTGACAGGTCTGGGCGTTCGTAAGAGTCACCCTATGATGAGTAGGAGGAGCCTCGATGCCGGGCAGCTGGTCTTCTCTGCCCACCAGCACGCTCAGTTTGAATGTGCTGCGTGATTGGATCAGACGTTCGACGCCCACATTTTGCCAGCGTGGGCCCCAACAGGTGAGGTATTAAATTGCGTCGCTGATTTCGCTGGCCCCTGCAATGGCATCATTGCCGTATGCTCATCTGGTCGTAGCGACTGGGAACCCGTTCGTGTGCTCGTGGCTCGGAGTTGTGCAGGAGGCGATCGTTGGTTTTTCGGGTCTCTCTTGGGACCCGGGTCAATCGTGGTTTCGATGCCTCATTGGGAGGGTTCTCAGGGTTTCTTTGGAGGCCTCTCGGGGTTCTTCTTGGCAGCATTTGTTTTACTTGCGCCTCCGCTTGCCAGTGTCGCTTGCCCGCTGTGCTGGCAGTCCGTGGTTGCGACTGAATGCAAGCCTGTGGCGAGTGCAATTGCGCCGCTAGGGAAGCGTTGCGGTGTCGTCTCGTGACCGGCCGCACCGAGTACGTGGCCCAACTGTCCATGCGCACGCACTGGACCACTCCAGTCGGGCGGGACTAGGACAGCAGCTATCGGCCACGCGGCTGGGACAGATACTTGCTTTTAGTGGCCAAGTTTCGTGACATAAGTTTCGGCTGACTCGGCAGCCGAGGGCGGATGCACTGAATTTTCTTCTTGGTAGAGTCTTCTTCCCATCAGTTGGGAAGCAGGCAGTTTGCATCGTTCTAGGAGAAAAAATTGTGTGACCTCCTTGGGCCTCTTGTGGCCCTTGTGTGGCAGCGTGTTTAAACCTCCGAGGGGTCTCTTGGGTTTTTTGGGGGACTTGCTGGCTCGGGTGCCAACCTTCTTTGCAGGCTTGACTTGTGAGTTTCGATTCCCCCTTTGGGGGCCTTCTTGAGGGCCCTTGCAGCTCCCGTGAGAAGCCCCTTGGGCCGTCTTGGAGTCCTCTTGGGCCGTCCTTGGGGCCGTCCTGGGAGCCTCTTTGGCTGAGCTGGGGCGGCCTAACCGGCCTCCTGGCCCGTCCCTGCCTGTCGGAAATCCACAAAGGCGGTAACGTCAAACATTTTTCATAACATTCAAACGTTTGAGCATAGTCATGTTTTTGTGATGCACTTTCGGACCGTCTCGGGCGCCGTCTTGCCCTTCTTGTCTTGTTGGAGCCATCTTGGGTTGTCTTTGGCGCCTCTTGGCCCATCTCGAATCCATCTTGGGCCGTCTTGGAACGGTCTTGGCCTGAGGCCGTGGGGCCTGCCGCCTATTTGGAGAATCCTTTTTGGGCGCCCTGGAGTCCCCCAGGGCCGCGCCCACGAGTTCGGCATCTGTGACCCGGACCTTGCCCTGCCAGGACATAGCTGGGATATGTTTCGTCTGGGGACCCGGATATGTTTCGTCTGGGGACCCCCAGGGGTCCGCCACGCGTGCGGGAGCCAGACTTGTTATGATTCGTTCAGCGGAGAGAACGCCTCTTGCCCGTTGGGCCCTCGGATTTCGTCTTGGGCGTGCAAGCAATTTGGAGCAATATGTGTGGTGTAAGGTATGTGGTGCGAGCTTAGTGTTGCAAGCAGGGTGTTGAAAGCTGTGTGGTGCAAGCAAGTTGGCGTCAAACCAAAATTAAAGAACAGTTCTATAGCGAGCGCTACATCCAACGCTGTCTTGGCCCAGCGCTGTCCGATTTGCTAGGTGCACTACCCTGCGCGCCCCAATTCGAATCCTAGTATGAGACAAAGGCCAAGTTTATCTATGATCCACCTCTGCATCCCATGGCTTTCTTTCCCTACGTAGCCGCTTTCCTTAACATCAAGGGATGAGTCGCGGGGTACCCACATACGTCGCCGACGTTCTGCTAAGAGTCGGGTGCTCACCTTACTACTTCATGGTCAAGCCCTGTACCCTTATTTTTCACTAGGTAGCGAGTTTGGCTACATTTTCATTCGGCTGGCCTTTACATCAGGCGTTATGTACATAACAACTCACCACGGCACACTGGAGTACCCAACTGCGCCGGCTTTCAGCCATTGCGCCCCCAACGTCGTTAAACGAATTGGCAACAAACAGTCCTACTATATTTCCCCCCCCCCGCATGGCCACACGCAACGCACGACCCATGTGCCGGTACCGATTTGCAAGTTGACGGCCACGTCAGACCAGACACCCAGCCGCAACCCTACGGACGCAACAACATCCAATGATACGCAACCGAACATCGTCAGCTACAACATGGTTATGCGCTATGTTAAGGTCGCCGTGGCAAACATGCAAGGAGGAGGACGAGATGAGACACGCATTCGGGGCCCCTTTCTGGCATCCCGCAGGCAACGTCCTCTTCCGCGACTATGTTCGCGAAGTGCACGCATGGGTGATCGGCGCCAGCGGAAGCGTGATTCTCCCCGAACAGGCCGCAGTTTTGCAGCGCGGCCTAGGGGGATTGGCTAGGACACTAGCAGTGAGGGTGCCGCCCACCATCATCAAGTGTGGTGTCACACTGCAGGGGAGCTGCACCGATGGAGTCACATACACCATGGACTCACTAAGCATCAAATGTGTCAACCTCGAGAACGAGCGTCAGCTCATTTCAGGGGCAGCTCTCATTGACTTCAGGGCTGATGGAGCCAAGCACATCGACTCAGTGCTGGCCCGATAAGAGACGGCCAGGCTGGAAGCAGGCTCAGCATGCTTCAACAGACCCAGCCTCCCGATCCTTACCCGGATCTTATTTCGGGTCTTGGGGGCTGGTACCTCCCGACCAGCACAGCTACTGCAACCGCTGAACCACCAGATGCCCCATGCCCAACAACACACGACCGACTCCTTGAGCGAATGCGTCGCCATGGACATTTGGCTTAACGCCTCCCAGGCAACACCGGGAGCATCCTCAGCGGGCGCAGCGCCGGCGCCTACCGCGCCGAAATAAGCGACGCACCGGCAGTCATGCCGAAGGGCATCTGGAATGACGGAGAGGCCTTTGCGTCCACGATGCTCCGAGGCTAAGACGCCAACAACAATGGCGAACAGGCGTCTGGCTTAAACGTGGCTTGGCCGTCAGCAGCCAGCCATGCACCACCTGACGCGACAACCCCCTGGGGTTCACCGAGCCAGCAAGATGATGACGTCTTCGACTCCGGCACGGACACCGATGCGGTCTTTTCTGTCAGTGCCAAAGACCCGCCGGCGATGACGCAGTCACACTATACCTGCACCTAGGCTATCTTCATGCCAATAGAAGGCGGAGGCAACATACGAAGAAACCAGTTAGGAGGTTCAGGCGAGCTTCGCGCCGCGTCTCCTCCGCAAAGGAAAGGAGCGCGGCGGAGGGTGTAGACGTACCCGCAGATTGCGTAGCAGAGGTCTAGCCACGTTCCTGGCTCGATTGACCGACTTTGATTTCGACTTCGGCAGAGGTAGCGGCAGGGGTCGTAGACATGCAACAGGCAAGGGCAAGGGGCGCAGGTTCGATCGAATGGGCACATATGGCAAAAGGACGACGCGCAACACCTGCGGCAGCGACAAGCGTTTCCAAGCACAACGGCCCATGGGAGGTGGAAGCGGAGACGGATCCGCACTTCTCGGCTCAGAGCAATCCGAAGCGGACAGTACTGAGACCGCTGACTTTCTTTTAACTCGACCACCACTTTTTTCTCATTCTAGTTTTGCTGAGTTGTTGATGACCTTTTTCC